CGTCGCGGGTGAAGACTGCACCGTGGCCGCTGTTGAAGAGGGGGTTGTTCTCTAGCAGGGTGACGGCGTGGGTTGCTGTTTCTAGGGCTGTGGGGAGGGCGCTGGTGGATGTGCCCGTGGGGGAGGGAGTGTTTTGGTAGGCGTTTGTCTTGCTGACCTGTGTTGTTGTGTGAGTACCATGTATGGAGGAGTTGAAGTGTTGTTGATGAAAGGTGTGAGAGGGTCTCTATGGGATTCTCAAACTAGAAGGAAGGGAGAGCTTGTGATGTTTGAACTTACAATCGTCAGCAAGGCGTGGCGGTACTCCGCATACTCTGGCGGCTGCAGATTCGACGGCTTGATGTTACCCGCGCCGCCGTGGATGATGAGGCGCGGCTTCACCTTCACGGCGGCCGGAGACTGACGCTTGTACTCCATCTTCCTTTCTCACTGTCTTGTCCTTCGTCTATCTTCTCGATTCCAAAGCCCGACGATGTACACCCAGTAAGCTTCCGAGAATTGACCTCTTGCAAGTATTCCGTATGAGATGTTTTGTGATGCGAATTCAAAGTGCCCTCTCATGTGAGACGTGAGGTGGGAGAGAGTCGTCGTGAATGATAAGATAAGAACTGTCCGAACCGGCGTGCCGAATGGGGAAGCTCCAACGGCCGACGCTCGGCTCCTGCTTGCCGATGGTCGGATCACGTCAACGGAGGGGTTGAAAGTGTCATCTTTTCCCATGTTATAAACGAGTCAGGTCCTGCACATGACCGACGGAGATACTTTAACTAATGACATTTTGGTGAACAATGCAATGTCTAGAAATGCTTTGATCTTTGGGGTATCCCTCTACTTTTCTGTTTATTTGTACAATGTGCCCTTGGACATGCCGCTGCCCACTACCCAAAACGCCTCCCGAATAATACTGTAGATAGCGCCCGGAATGTCTCGCAATCTACAAACGAGCAAACACGGACCCAATGATTTCCCGGCTCTTGAGGAGGTTCAGAACCCTCAACCTTTCATTGTCCAAGTGGGCGGAATCCGAGGACTGTCCGCAAGGGAGGTGCGCGGCCGGGGCGCCGAACTCCTTCTCGAGGAAGCGGATCGCGGGAATAGAGCCGCCTTCACGAATGTACAGAGGCTTCTTGGGCTTCTGCGTATTCTTATCCGTTGTCTCCGCGGACTCCGCCCCTGTACCTTCACCCGCAAACACGGACGACCACGACTGCATAATAGCCTCCTCGAGCGTCTGGAAAATGGCATTTGTGGGATCGCCCAGCCACGGCTCGGCCTTGTTATCAATCTTGATGGTCAGCGAGTTTTTGGACTCGAGCTGCGCGAACTCGCTCTCGAGGTACGAGCCTAGCGAGGCAATGACGTCGTTGACCTCCTGGCCTGGCACCAGACGCAAGCTGATGTTAGCACTCGCGTGGCTGCTGACCAGGCTGCCGTCCGGTCCTGATACCTTGTATCGATGGATCGTCAAGTTGGGTTCTCTCCAGCGCGCCATCAGTGCGGCCTTGAGCTTGTCGGCGGGCCCCTTTTCTGGGTTCTGGCGCATGAGCGTGGCTGCAATGTCGTCGTAGCGCGTCTCCTCCTCGGCTGTGACGGGAAGGATATCGTCGTAGAAGCCGGGGATGAGCACCTTATTACCGGGCCCCTTCAGCTTTGACAGAGTGGAGGTTAGATCTGACAGGGGCTCGTCGTTCATGTAGGAGCCGTCTACACCAGAATGCTGGTCAGGCAGATGTGAGTCGACGCACACAGTGGCATGCAAAACGCCACGCAGGCCGTAGGTCAGGCAGGGGACCTCATCGTCGAGCCAGTAACTGTTGGCAAGCAGGATGTAGTCGACGTCGCCGATGAGGTCCTTGTTCCTGCGAACAATCTCCCTGAATCCGCGAGAAGCCGATTCTTCCTCTCCCTCGATGAGGAAGATGACGTCGTTGGCAAGTTTCTTAGCTTGCAGCAAGTCTGTCACAGCGAACAACGCAGCCATGATCGGGCCCTTATTGTCACTGACGCCTCTGCCGTAGAGGTATCCGTTGACGCCCTTCATTTGGAATGGGTCAGTCTCCCACTTGCCCTTCTTGGTATCTGCCGGGACGACATCGTAGTGGCCGTAGAATAGGATCTTCTTCCGCTTCTCAGCCGGCTCCAAAACACCATCAAACTTGGCAAGAACAACAGGGTTGTGGGGGCTGCTCTCGGTGCTCAGCATCTCAACATGGCCGCCAAGCCTCTTGAACAAGGACCCAAGGAACGTTGCACCTCTTCGGCAGTCCTCTGCGAATTCTGGGCGTGACGACACTGTCCGGTAGGACACGAACTCCCCTAGTGTTTTAATCATCACGTCGTTGGCTTCCTCTACCTCCTTTTGTTGGTCCTCGTAAGACGAACAGTCAATGTTCCAGATGGCAACATCATCGTCGTTGCCGCCGGTAATGTAGTACTGTCTGTTGTTGTATGTTGTCACTGCTGACGAGAGAATCTTGCCCTCGTGAGCCTTCCAGCGCGCCACGCATTGGTACTTCTGGCTAATATTCGCCACCTGCTTGTCTTGGTACTGGCCGTAGTGGGCAGTGGTGTGTTTCTAAGAGTTATTAGCGATGAACGAAATGAGGAAACCAAAGACCTTACACTCGCAGAACCAGAGCGAGAGGCGCTGAGGAGATAGCCCCAACCCATTTGCAGTGTCATGACATCGCCCCTATGCCCCTTGATCACTCGCAACTTGGACTTTGTATCGAGGTCCCACAGTTCAATGACTCCTTGCAGCTTCCCAGCATACAAGAAAGACCCGTCAATCGCAAGAGACATGACCGACTCCGCATCGTCGGTGCCGAGCGACATAAGCTCTTGAAGGCCAGGTTCGCGGTCGTTATCAGCCGCATGATCGTCTCCCTCAGCACCAAGCTTCCACAACTTGATGGTGCCGTCTCCGCCGCCCGAGATGAGCACATCCTCTTCAGGTTCCACTAGAACGGTAGGGCCCTTGGCCATGAGCATCGAGTAGACGTAGCCGTAGTGGGCAAACATCTGCACAGCCCCCGGATGAATTTCCACCACCTTTTCAGATCGCGGGATCAATGTCCACCTCTCATCGTTACGGCGCGGCGTCGTTGTCCCTCCTACAGCTCGGGAGTCGAAGAACCTGTGATTCCGACGGTCGGGGTGTTGTGATGAGTCGTGAGTGGTACGGTTATTCGGGTCGGTGAGGCTGACCCATTGAATCGAGGTGTTTTGCGCCCCAACGTACACCGTCTCGTGCTGGGCGCTGTAGGCCACGGAAAAGATGTCGCCAACGTCGTATGTGCTGTAAATCTCGTACAGGCGTTTCATCGTCTTGGGACACCAGACGTTGATGAGGGGATCTCCGGCGCTCGAGAACAGCATGGAGCCGTCGGGGGTAAGGAACAGGCTCAGCACGCTGCGCTTGTGAGCCTGGACGATGCGCTCCTGGTGGAAGGTGGCCAGCGACCACACGACAATCTCGCCATCTTGGGTGCCGGCGTATATGCGTTCGTTCTCGGCGCTGACGGCGAGGGCGAGGACGGAGCTGTCGTGCTTGAGGTTGTGAAGGAGTTCGGGGGCGACCTGGGGGCAGTCGTCCGTGTCGCTCAGGTTCGTGGACAGGTCGGAGGCCGCGATGGCGGAGGGCATTGTGTCTTCTGTCGCGCGAGAAGGGAGGGGGGACAGCTTGTCAGCGGAGGTGCTCAGGCGAAAGAATGCGACCGGTCGACCCAACAGAGAGAACGGAATGGGTCGATCGAGGTTGAAGGAAAGGGAAACGTTATGTGGCGTGTTGAGACAGGAAAGCAAGAAGCAGACGTTGGATTGTGACGCATTTCCCAAGATGAATCGGTCAAATTGGCTGCGAACTCGCAACGAAAATGGCGAATGACGAAATGCGCTAAAAAGGGAGTCACTCCGCCCACCATTCCCCCGGGCAGCGTGGATCTCCCCGTAAGGGACCTCTCCCTTAGGGGTGGACACTGTGGACGTCCCAAGGTTTTGGGCTGAGTGGATCGTCCCTAGGTGCAGTTGCTGCCAGCCCAAGTGCTCTAGCTCCCGTAGCTACAAGGTCCACTGCTGTTTTCTCAGGGGAACTACAGGGACTAATGTGACACGAATTGTCACTCTGAAGCATCCCGCCCACGTCTTGTGACACTTGTCCCTTTTTGAACTTTCCTCGAAGACCAGCGAGTTTGATCAAGTTACAGTAAGAGACAGAGGGAACTCACCATCCTCATACTCTTCAGAAGACTCGGAGCCAATCGATAGTTCGACTAGATCCCGGTGTATCTTCCGGCACCCTTCGCAGTCGTCCTCGCCCGGGGCGTGGGGCTCACCAGATTTGTAGACCACGGCCATCTCCTCGAGATGGGAACGACAGCGTCCGCGGTTCTGACTCGGAGTATCCGTACGCCACGGAAGGATAAGAACTCGTAGATGGGCTGAATCCGCTTCGATCCTGGGGTAACTTGCCACAAGCCGAAGGTGGGGAGGGGGGGTTTTCTCTATTTGTACGGAAGTCCTGATGGCTTTGACTCTCTCACCGCTTCATGACGCAACATTGGAGGGGATGGTATCATAGGCCCGTGATAGCAAATATAAGAGACTGCAAAAACGCAGGTATGATTAGGTATGATTCAGTTGAAGGAAACGAGATTAAGAAAAACCGGGCGGCCGGGAGTGACCTTAAGCATTAAGGAAGAACTGTCCGCAGGGCCGAGATCGGTTGCGTGATTTCACATTTCACAACTTCGTACAAACTACGAGCCGTCAGGTGGGTGCCAAGCACTATTATCGCCTGGACCTCTTCCAATCCTTACGGACGTGGAGTCTGTCCGCTTCGGCATCCATCCATCCAAGCCAGCCATGATCCTCCTCAGCAAGTGACACCTAGCTGAGACAGCCCGGGATGGTCGCCGACCTCTCTGTGAGCCTGTGAGATATGGAGGAAGAAGGCCTCAGCAGCGGGCAGCAGCGTAGCTCACCGCAAGATTGGTGTCCAGATGTGCCAGACTGGCAGACCCCCAATCCACATCCAGGGTGCGCGTGGTGATCTTCCGAAGCCACGGTCCCCAGCAATCTGTGTTCTGTCCTATTGGAGGGCACCACGCTCCCGGCGACGAAAACGGAGCATCGGTGAACGGCCAAGTGTGCCCAAACAAGGGGACACAGGCCGGCAAGGGTGTTATCGAAGTAGCTGTCCGTTGGATTAACCCGATAGGCCTCACTTCTCACCCGTGGTCTCAAGCAACCTGCAGATCCGTCGGGTAGGAGTCTGCCGTAAGCCGTGTATCATTGTTTGGTTGAGCAGACGGCGGGACGAGATATCACTGCACCAACATTTTTACCTAAGGACTGGGTGGTGGAGCAGTAGCTGAATATGGGGCTCAAACTTTCGCCTTACTCCCTAAAGTTTTCACCATCCATCAACTATTCAGGGAATGCAAGGGATCTTGGAAAGTTTAGCAATGCGAAACCGTCATGTTAACAGCAGACCAGGAAGAAACATGGGCGTCGGCCTGGGCAGAAGCCGTGGCTGAAAAAGGCGGTTGGGAAATTGTGGTAAACAAGACCAAGATACCCGTTGCTTGAGACTGCCTTCATTTGGGAGCCCACTACAGCAGTGGCCAATGACCGAGCTGCATGATGACTGTCATCCGTCTTAAGGCTGACTAGCAGGATGGAGATATCTCACACACCAACTTCTTCCAGAAGACAGAGTCACCAAATCCAAGTGTATCCTGGAAGATCGCCTTCACTTTACACGAAGCCATCGACAAGCTTGAGTCAAGAGTCTGGGGTCTTGCAGACGTTGTCTCGAGACACGCCCGTTGCCGCCATGAGCACCGCGACACAAAGGAAGAGCAGGGTCATCCATCCTCTGACGAGGGAACAGACAATACGCGAAAGGACAATCTTCCTCGCAGGCACAACAAGCAAGAGAGACTGGCGCAAGGATGTCGCCGACTCACTGGCTCATCTGCCGGTGGTCATGTTTGATCCCTTCCGGCCGGACTGGGACAGCACCTGGAAGGAGGATATTTCGGATGAGAGATTCAGCAACCAGGTTAACTGGGAGCTGGATATGCAAGAGAGGGCCGACATCATCGTTGTTTACTTTGAACCGGAGACAGAAGGCCACATCAGCTTGCTCGAGTTGGGACTTTGTGCTCGCTCAAAGGGAAAAGTCATCGTCGGTTGTTCTGAAGGGTATAAGAAGAGGGGCAATGTTCAAGTCGTCTGTTCGAGATATGGAATTCCATTCGTGGAGAGCTATGAAGAGCTGGTTGAGAAGCTGATCCAGAAATTAGAGGCAACCGATGTTAAGGCTTGAGGAAATACTTTTATCAGTTTTGAGAATCACTTCGCGCCGTGATGTGCGGCCAAGATGATTCACGATCGGGGGAGAGGCCGCCGCCATTCATGTACCAAACACTGAGGAACAGCCCCACTAACTCCGATACTCGATTGCCTTTCTCCGATACGGCGGGCCGAAGGTATTTCCTTCCAGTGCCTCCAGACTCGACTTGCGTTTGGCAACCCCACTTGCCTAATCCGACATGGTTCGCAGGCCCTCCAAACACCCAGAGCTTCGAGGGCAACTCCTTCGCAAACCAACCTCGTGCATCTGCTCCAAATATCTTAGCTTCCCTTGCTATAGCTCCTTACCGACATTCTCTCCTTCATACCTTTTTGTCTAGTATAATTGTCAGAACACATATCCTTCGCAATGGACGACCAATTTGGAGGCCGCACAGACGACGACCTCTTCTTTGACGACTTTGAGCCTGTAAGCAATCCCCAGGCCATCGAGACAGTCGAAACCGTCGTCGCCCCTCCACCCCCTCCTCCCGCCGCTGTCGCGACGCCGCCAGTCGAGCCACCAAAACCAGCACCAGCGCCCGCGCCCGTCGCGTCCAAGGCTGCAGAGCAACAGCAGCAGAAGCCGCAAAAGCAAGCCCCGGCCAACAAGAAACCGCCCACGGCGCCGAGGGGTGGTCTCGCAAATTCCAGATTCGCCGACCCCAAGCCGGCCCCTGCTGCCCCGCGCGGCCCTCGCCAGGCAGCCCCCGCCGCCGTCTCGACTCCCCCTCCGGCCGCGACCGCGACCGCGACCACGCCCGCGCCCAAGCCGCCCACCGGTCCCGCGGCGCAAAACTCACCTGCTCCCGCCGTTGCACCGACTGCCCCTGCCGCCGATGATGCTGCTGTCGCCCCTCCCCCGGCGGCCGCAGCCCCGAGCGACGCGGCCTCTCCCAAGAGCAACTCGCCCGCTCCGGCAGCAGTACCTCACGCACCCCGCGAAAAGAACGCCGCCGCCGCTCCCGGCGCAAACACTGCCCTCAACGCAGAAGCCCGCCTCGGCTCGGGCGCGAACCCACGTACCAAACTAAGCGAATCCCAACTCGCCGCCAAAATGGAACAGATGCGCATCCTCAACGCCGAAAAGACTCGCAAGTTCGAGCAGGCGGAGCAGGACGAGCGCAGCCACGCGGAGGCCTACGCGCGCGGCATGGAGGAGGCGCGGCAGCGCAAGAAAGCCGACGAGGAGAGGCGGCGGCGCGGCGAGGAGGAGCGTCGGCGCATGGACGACGAGCGCGCCAAGAACCGCGAGAGGAAACTCAAGGCGATGAGTATCAAGGAGGGCGGGTGGGACGAGGGCAAGGAGGCGCTCGCTGCTGAGGAGGAGAGGAGGGGGTTCCGGGGCGCGAATGGCGGGGTTAGGGGGACGAGGTCTGCGGGGCTTGCCGGGAGCCGGTTTGCTTCAAGGGAGGAAGAGGCGCCGCAGGGTGATCGGTATGCTGGTGGTGGTGAAGAGCGAAGAGGTGGTAGGGGCCGTGGAAGAGGTCGTGGGCAGGGGCGGGGTGGACGCGGCGGTCGTGGCGGGTATGGGAATGATCATGAACGGGGGGATTCGAACGGCGCTCAGGAAGCTAAGGCTCCTGCCGCCCAGGCTCCCGCACCGGCGCCGGTCATCAGCACCGAGGAATTCCCTGCCCTGCCTGGTAAGACTACGAGCGGTGCCATTTCGCCCCCTGTCCTGTCGCCTCTTGGTAGGTGGGACGACGAGATGGAGGCCTTTGACGAGAAGCTCAAGAACGCCGCCGCGCAGTCTTCTTCTTGAGGACTATGCCTGAGCGGACAGTAAAGCTTTACGACGAGGAGAAGCATCACGAATTGGATCACAAAATTACAGCGACGACGCATTTTGAATACGCCACTATGAGGGGAATGAAGAAGAATTGGAGTACATTATAGTTCGCTTCTAAGCATGGTTCCTCACTAGGCGGGCATCTAGGGTTTGCGAGTCTCGTCTTCAGCAGGCACCGTTACGAGCGTGAATACAGAATGCCGTCCGGGACTGCCCAACGCCGCCGTCTATGTTCCCTTGAGTTGGGTCCTTCGCAATCTTGACCCGTGATGCTGGCCATCGTGGAATCAATGCCGTTGCCGACTGGATCAGTTGTGATCGTAGGCCTAAAAGACTTAGTATGAAGCAAATCAACCTCCAGTGGTATCGTCACCCACGTTTTACATCCTTCAAGTATCATGCTGAACATCTGTGTGTTTGGGTTCCACGAGCTTGGCTCGTGGATCGAAGAGTATTGGCGGTCGGTTCCTTTCGCAATACTCAGTCATATTCCAAGTGCTCAGGGTAGCATGCTGCTCTTTTTCGAGATCTGACGGGCAACGTCGACATAGGCTCCTAATTCGGATTGCCGCCCATCAACTCTTCATACTCTGGTTCGGGTTGAGCTGCGATCATCTTCAAAGCGTTCCACCTCCCCGGATGAGCCTACCATCCACCGCCGCCACCGCCACGGTATCCCCTGCCACCACGCCCGCGGTACCCTCCACCGCTCCTGGGACCTCTGGGACCGCCGGGTCCCATGTTGTCGTCGTCCATCGGTGCGCGTTGGCGGTGGCGCATCTCCTTGGGGAACGCGTCAAAGGTCTTGCGCATCTGGGCGTAGCCAAGATGCATCTTTCCGTAAAAGTGATCCGCTAGACGTCGGTCGTTGTCCAGCCTACTGAGGTAGGCGCCGCAAACGTCGCAAACTTGCAGCTTCTGGTGGCCGGACGGGCCCGAGGTGTCTGACAGGGCCTTGAGTTCCTTCTCGCGGTCCAATTTTGTTTGCTGTGCTTGGCGTACTCGGTAGAATTCGTCGATCGCGCGGGATACTTCGGCCATTTCTCCGAGGATTTCGACTTCGAGGGTGCCGTTGTGGATTGTGGAGGAGAGTTCAGCGATGCTTTTCAGCTGTGACATCGTTAGCTATTAACTAGTGCAGTGCGAGGGAGTGTTGAGGCCATACCAAGGCATTTGTTTGGCGGATCTCGTCGGGCGTCTTCTCGAGTCTGCGCTGTGCTGAGTCTATCCTCCTGTTGCAGTCGTCGATGTACTTTTGAAGGTCGCGCATGTAGTCGTACTCAAAGCCGTACTTTTGCTTCTCCTTATCTGACAGTCCCTCGTATTCGGCCTTGAGCGCTTCAGAGTGCTGCTTTGGGCAAGGGCCGAGATCTTGCTTGGTATTCGTGAAGAGATCGTGAGGGCATGTGCCGACGAGGAATGATCTGCAGACTTTAGGATCTGTCATGGAGAGCGAGGCCGCCCGCGTACTAGCCGAGCCGCCCATGAGCTGCTCCAGCAGCTTTCTCTGTTCTGCTGCCATTGTATGTGATGCTCGATGGTGTCCGTCGAGATTTGTTGAGTATACGATATATCGTGGCTTGGCGTGGAGTTTTGTGGACGGGTCAATTGGGTATCTTAAATTGAAGGTAAGGAAATTCGCGAAGTTCTGGGGAAGAAGGCGTGTCGCGCGGGATGAACCATGGGCGGAATGTGGAGAGCTGTAAAAGGTACTTTCCCCAAGGCGTGGTTACATAAGAGGGATTCTGCCGGGCTCCACCGCCCAGACATCCCTCATACGACCACCTACACGACCTCACCTCCAACGGCATTACATGCGCCGCCGTGCAGGGGAGAGACCGCAGCAGACGCGAATCTCGTTCTTTTGCGCTGCGACACTCCCTTCATGATGCGCCAATTTCTGGCGGCCATTCTTTTCTCTTGCCTCGCCTCCTTTGGCCTGGCTGCGGATTACCACGAGCAGCTGAACCTCCGCCCGCTGCCCCTGTCCGCCCTCCTTGCGAGCTTCAACTTCCGATCCAATACATCGCTATCTGATTTCGACTTGCAAAACTTCCGATATTTCCCCCGGTCGTTGGGTCAGATCCTTCAATATGCCGGGACGAGAGAGCTTCATCTGAGATTCAGCTTGGGAAGATGGGATGCCGAGAGCTGGGGAAGTCGGCCTTGGGATGGTCAGCGCGAAGGCGGGACGGGCGTGGAGCTATGGGCATGGCTTGAGGCCGAGACGGACGAGGAGTATGTCACTCACCTGTCATCCTGTAGATGGATTATACTTACACGCATGCAGGGCGGACCAGAAGTGGTTGACCCTCACCAATGCTCTTTCAGGGCTCTTCTGCGCATCGCTTAACTTCGTCGACGGAACCCGAACCACCCGACCGGTCA